ACAAAATATTGATCTGTAGCAACACTCCACATTGGTGTTGGCTGATGTCAGTGCTCTTCTGCTCACAAAGGATGCAGGTGCCTCTACCGCTCCCCAGGTTAGCTAACCCATAGACAGTATCCCTATGCGCCGCTTCAAATGCAAGAAGGCCTTGATGTTGTTCTCCATAGTGCTTGCGGATCGAGCGGGCAGGAATGGCCAGGTGGCAAAAGGCACAATGATGTGCAAGTTCACTGAACAATGGCTTGTCAAGGAGCAAACCTAGTATGCATTTGTATCTGAAGTGCATCCTCAATGAAGGTCTGGCAGCAATCGGTACAATGTTGTCCTTAGAGCGGTCGAATTGCAGACAAACTCTAGCATTGATATGAGCCTTCAGTCTATACAAATCTACGAATGGTTTATGGCAGTGTCTACATATTGCTTGGCCATTCTGAGCGTCACGGAGAGGTTTAAATAGATCTTCTATGTTACGTGGAATCTGGTGACATGCTCTCAAATGCCTCTTCCACGGACCAGCCTGGTGAAAGGCGCGATCACATTTAGGGCACTTTAATTCAGGCGCCTGAGGACCTGGGTCGAGAGTGTCAGTCGGTGCCATGATATAATTGCCAGGGTAAGCTGGGGTAAAGACACAAACGTCCTTGGGATTAGCTTGCATGGCGTCACTCATCAGAGTGGCCCAGCGGGTGAGGAAGGACTTAATCAATCGTTTCTGCTGTCTGTCAAGGAAAAGCCATGGAATTTCCAAATTCATGCTGGCGTAGAAGGCCGTCGTGGGCTCCCGAGTGAGGTGCACAGGTGATCTGGCCATGGTACGGTGATGTCTGGGTATCATGCCAGTGATGCTATGAAAACTCCGGCTAGAAATACCGATTTCATCAATTCCATACGACACCGTGGGCAGCACACATTGATTGTAGAGTGGAATCCTGAGATGAAAAGGATGATGTCTGTTCAAGAACCACTTCCTTAAGATGCGAAAACAGATATTGGCAGCAGTGATACGGCACTGGACCGTATCATGATCGAATGCACGATAGCTCAGAACGATGCCTAAATAATCCGTCTTTCCAACTAGTGACAGGTTCAATGTCGTATCCGGCAAATTCGACCTTGGCCCTTCTTTTGATCTCGTCGTCCATCTTTTCAAAAACGCCTGAGCGGACTTTCCCACAAGGCGCATGATGGTAACACTTTTGGTCAAATTCACTCGGAAGTGATATGCCTTGAGCATGGATAGGACAAAGGCCAATTCATGGAGGGTTTCATACCCCATGGACATGTTATGGATGATCCATCTCAAATGGATGTCATCTGCATAGATGATAATGTGAGAGACAATGCAAGACATGTCATGATGGGCCAAAAGGTCATGAAGGACCAAATACATGTTCAAGGTCCAGAGCATAGGGGCGTCTTTGGACCCCTGGTTGATGCCTCGCGACGCTGTGAATCTGTCAAGAAGCTCTTTGTGTGGGATGCAATATTCATATTTTTGAAGCCATGAATGAACCAACTTAAGAAGATTGGGATCTATGTCATAAAGAGCAAGGGCCCTGATAACCAAGTGACGGTCAATGGCATCGGAGGCTTTTTCAAGGTCAAGAGATATTGAACTCCAGGTATGGAGTCTTTGTGGTGCTTTTAATACAGTGACTTGACCGCCCGACAATGGTCAGAGACAATCAACAAGCAGTCCTTAGTGCCACGATTCGGAAGATAAGCGAACAGGGGGATCGAGCGGAGTCGTAGGAAAGCTGCATGCATGATTTGGTTGCAGTGGATGCCAATCATGATCCTTTTAATAGGATGTTGAAGGCATATGGGACGAAGTGCAGCCGGATTATTAGGTGGCTTGTTCGGTTTACTCAGCAAATGTAACCAGCCGGTGGACCATTGAATGGGAAGAATGCCCATCTGCAAAACCCAGGTATGGTGAATGGCAGGATAGACCACGGCTGCAATATCAGAAGCAAAGCATTTCCAAACAAGTGCTGGGAATGCGTCTGGCGCCAGGGCCCGGGTCATGGGCAGGCGTGAAAGGCCTCCTTCGTTAGAGCACAGGGTTGCAAGTCAAATGTGTCATCCATGAAAAGCGTTCGAAAGTGATTCACCAATGATCGAAATTCTTGATGGGGCATGAAAGGGATTCCATACTCATTATGCATTTGGATCTTCCTGTAAGGCTGTTTGGGACATAACTTACGAATATTGCGATACCAATCATGCATCCGCATCCGGTTGGTGAGTGCATTGGTGACATTGTCACGAAGGAAAATATCCAATTTGTTCCGTTTGTTTTGTCTACCAAACAGACGTATCTGCTTATGGAGACGTTCAAAGACTGTGCCAGCAATGGAACAGGGTTTTGACTGTAATAAGACACATCATTCGAAGTTGACGTCTAGCGTACCACATTCGGGCTGTGAGTGAACGAATGGAGACATACGTCTGGTGCACAGGTCTAAGGCCAGGAAAATGAACAATACAAGGCAGCCTCCATGGAAAGACAATTACCAAGCGAATCCGGGTTGGATATATATGTATGTCTGAGGACACAGCTACGGACCTCTTCGGCAAAAGCTTTCCATCGTGGAGTGCAGTTGATCATTTCCTGCGCATACGATGACGGTCAAGAGGTTTATGATTGCAGGGTGACTTACGAACGGCATGTCAACCAGACAGACCTAAGAACAAAGGTCGATGCTGAGGACCTTGATGGAGACCAATGCGCTCAAATTGGCAATCAACAACAATCTGAAGGTGTTTCCATTGAATCTGATGGTTCCTCAAGAAGAAAAAATCGATCCTGGATTAGTGATGTCCATGTAGGAAAATGGGAGTATATGTTTGACGACAATGAATCGTTATCAAATCCAAATCAGCAATGAGATGTTGAAAAATCAATTTGGCGGTTTAAAGGGTTTTACCAAACCTAGGATTATAACTTCCAACATGAGGTTTGTTTTGTTGCAAAGGACAAGTAAAATCACCAATAATGATAAACAGGTGACTTTTTGGCGTGTGCAAAATGCCCTGTCCCAACCGGTGCCACAGGTCCTGCCTTGGTATTCCATACCGTTTGGTATATCGCAAATACATCATAGATGCGGCTGAGTATGAACCTCAAGTGGATCAATCGTCCTAGGATCAATATTACATAGGTCAGAAGGGAAGGGCTAAATAATTTCTTCCGAATATGAACGAATACAATATCAATTATCTGTTGTTCATTATTCTACCACCCTGATTCTTGAATTAATAACCAACAAGACGTCTCTATTGCGTCCAGAACACGATGGGGTCCATTCATGGTAATTAAGATTACGACATGTATTCCAATTTAAAAAAAAAAAAAAATCTCAGGTATTCATAGAATATTAAATATTGTGTAATCGTTCAAATTTCAGGGAATTGCGAATGCGAAAGGAAATATCTATTAATCAGAATATTCGTCCTCTATAATGGAGGACCCCTCCAAAATTGTTTTCTTGCAAATTCTGCGATAGAATTTCTTTATTTTAAAAATTCAAGCTAGTTATATCCCACAAACATAGCCAAAAAATACAATAATTTAATCTAACAATAACATTTATTTTTGCAAAAAATATTTATTTAAATATTATATCTTTCAAATTCATATACAAAATATATCCCAAACTTATTATATTTTAATCTAAATAAAATCTATCCTATATATATTTATTAAATAAATATATATTTATTTTATAAATAATTAATAAATTTAATCGAAATTCTTTCTATTATTCTACATAACATAAATATAAATCAATTCTTTTTTTAAAAAAGAACATTAATATATATCCAAATTTCATAAATATTACACATTAATAATATGCTATTATTGTAATATACAATTTATTATTTATTTTTAATAATTTTGTGTTTCATATAATTATTTATTTATATGTTTTAAAATATATTATTTTAAAAGAAAATATTTTAAATAAATCCGTTATATAATCTATTCAAACAATGTAAAAAATATATAAATACTTTAATTACATAATTTAAATTGATTTAATTTTATATATTTAATATATTAATTAAAGAGATATATATATTTATATATATTTTATAATATTACATATTTTTTTTAATTACGGAATATTCCATGATTATAACCTGTGCGAAATTGCTATGATATCGATTCAATATCCATTAAAGAACGATTCAGGATTGCTTCTACAAATCCAAAAATAGAAGTATTATCATCTTGGTGGGAGTGGCATCTGGTGTTCTGATTCGGTATTATTCTGAATCGTGCAATATTAATATAGAATTTGTAACGATGATTGTTGGTTTATCCAAGATCCTTTAAACAAAGGATGCGATCTTGAATTTCCTGCTACGCGGAAACCTCTTGCTTGTTGGGGGTTCCCACAAGATCTCCAAAACAATCACGGGAACAAAATGGAGCTCAAAGGAAAAAAGAAACAGCTCAGCGGTTCACCAAGGACACAAGGGATCTTGCTTTGAAGTCACCCGAAACAGCCGCATATCTCTCAATATGTATCTATCAGATCTATCAATGAATTCGATCCTTCCGCACCCCTTCCTCGGCACAGCCTCGCTCCTCGGATTCCGCCACAGCGGCACACAGCATGGAGTGAAGGTCCCTGGCTCGGAGCTGAACCCCGGCGAGGACGGGGTCCACTCCCTGTAAAGCATCATGGAGGTAGATGGCACCAGCTGTGTGAATTTCTATGTTCCACTTCCATGATTTTCAGTGAAAATCGGATCGGCGCTGGAAGGTTCCTAGCTGGGCCCCAAACTGGAAAAGCCATTTTTTGTGCAGGTGAATCTTCGGTGAAACCCAACGGACCCGATTGATGACAGGCGCAAAGACCCAGAGATGCTGAAAAAGGACCTCATTGGACGGCTCTTTGGGGGACCATCTCCGACTGTCCGGGCTTGAACCTTTAGTGGTTGAGCGAGAAATCCAACGTCTTTAGCGTCTGAAAATTTCGCCTTTTCGGACAGTCAAGAACTCGTCAAGAACACCTAACATCTTGAATTGGTGAAATTTCCACCCAGTATTTCGCTTCCACCCGCCCACGCGCGCGGAGCTTTTACCCTGCGCGGAGCACACCGAAATCTGCTGGGTCGAGCACCGCCCATGTTTGTGATTCGCGCTTGCGCGCAAGAAGCTCTGCAAGCAAGGTATGTCGGGTGTAGGGAACTCCGCTCCTTGAAAAGAACTCCGCTCTTTGAAAGTACCCACACTCGAACAATTCTTTGGATTTTCATCGACACATGGGAGGCCACTTGTGTGATTTATGTGTATTCAAGAGGGGTAAATCTCAAACTGAAGAGGTGTTGGCGTCGATAATGGCGCAGGGGTTCATCAACCAACAGTACTATGCACAGTTGTCTGCGGCACGGCTGGTGGCCCAACCATGCCGCACACATGGCACGAAGGCCCAATGCACGAATTAAGTGGCCCTCCCCTTCACTCGGATTGACATCCTGTACTTGCATCCTGCACCCATGTCAAGCATCAATCCTTGAGAGAACCTATTGTACACGACTTCGTGTGAAGCCATCACTTTTCATGACTCCTTCTTGCTGGCAATGGAGAACCTCAACTTCTTCACTGCCACAGCGATTCCCGCTGCCAAAGCAATCGTAGC